TAGTCACGCTGTGCGGCAACGTGCAGCAACATTTGAAGAGTAGTCATCTTCAAGGTTGGGGAGAAGGTATGGAAGAAGGTGACCCCCTGTCGCTGACTCAAGCCTCGAGCAACGTAACGCGCCTTGAAGGCAGGCGGACAACCCGGCGGCCGCTTCACTCTAAAAATCCACATGCCATCGACTATGTTCGCCCCAGGAGGAGGAACCTCGTCGACGTAGGTGCCTGTGGACTTCCAGGAAGTCATCTCTGTGTCCATGGCTGTCTGCCACTGAGAGGAGTACTCATCCGCGATTGCCTCAGCGTTAGAGCGCGGGGTAGGGATGTCAAGTGCATCCGGGTCTCCCTCAGGGCAAAGGAGCATGGATGCGAAACGAGGTAAAGCGGCCGCAAGACACTCAAGCTCAAAATGCCTGTCCTCAAGGACGTCACTGCTAAGGGAGGGCTCACCCCCGACGGATGGAGGACAGACAGACTCAGACTCAGTAAGAAGACTCGCGACGTAGTCGAGACGACTCCTAGCAGCAAAGTCAACTAGCTCAGTGACTCGGGCAAACGCAGCAATAAACCCAAAGTCAGGGTCAGTGACGACAGTAGCGAGGAGACGAGTGACAGTAGGACTGGCAGCACGAGGAAGGTCGGATTCAGGGTCAGGCACATCAGGAAGAGAGGAAGCCGGAGGAGAGGGCAGGGCAACACGCTGTGGAACAGAGGAAGGACGAAGTGCCATAACGTGAGTGCCTGGGACAGCAGGAGGACGAGGACGGGCGACACGATGAGCACGAACAGGTGTGGAGGCACGAGACTTAGGCTCACGACGCTCAGTCAGGGAGTCTGGCAGCTCAGTGTAGGGAGAAGGAGCAGGCAGTGGGGAGCCAGGCGGCAACTGTGTCTGAGACGGGGCAGACGGTGGACACAGGAGAGGTGGAGTGAGGCCAGTGGAAGACGGGAGACTAAGAACCTGGCGAAGGGCCGAGTCAGGCGGTGGCAGGGACGACTGAGGCTGCGGGGAGAAAATCGGTCGGCGCGGCGCAGTACCCGTACCGTCAGCAGCTCCAGTACCTCCAAGACCTTCAGCTCCAGTGCCTCCAGCACCAGCAGCACCAGCACCTCCAGCTCCGGCAGCTCCAGTACCGCTAACGAGCACCTCCAGGACCAGCAGCTCCAGCACCTCCAGTACCTCCAGTACCTCCAGCTCCAGCAGCACCTCCAGCACCTCCAACACCAGCAGCACCAGCAACTCCAGTGCCAGCAGCTCCAGCACCCCCAGCACCTCCAGCACCAGCAGCACCACCAGCTCCGGCAGCTCCAGCACCTCTAGTACGAGAACCTCCAGGACCAGCAGCTCCAGCACCTCCAGTACCTCCAGCTCCAGCGCCTCTAGCACCAGCAACACCTCCAGCACCTCCAGCACCAGCACCTCCAGTGCAAGCAGCTCCAGTACCCCCAGCACCTCCAGTAGCACCTCCAGCACCTCCAGCACCAGCAGCACCACCATCTCCGGCAGCTCCAGCACCTCCAGTACGAGCACCTCCAGGACCAGCAGCTCCAGCACCTCCAGTACCTCCAGCTTCAGCGCCTCCAGCACCAGCGGCACCAGCACCTCCAGTGCCAGCAGCTCCAGCACCCCCAGCACCTCCAGTAGCACCTCCAGCACCTCCAGCACCAGCAGCACCACCAACTCCGGCAGCTCTAGCACCTCTAGTACGAGCACCTCCAGGACCAGCAGCTCCAGCACCTCCAGTACCTCCAGTACCTCCAGCTCCAGCAGCACCAGCACCTCCAGCACCCCCAGTAGCAGCTGCTCGAGGAGCTGTAAAACTCCAAGCTCCAGCACCAGAGCGGCCTCGCCGAACGACCCACTCACGAAGCTGCTGCGGTGAGGGCGTCTCGAGTCGACTAGGCGGCTGCTGCGGTCCAACGCAAGGACCTGCAGCAGGAGCACCCATGGCCCCACTACCGCTAGGACTCGCAGCACCCCCAGAGTCAGCACTCCCAGAGTCAGCACCCCCAGAACCCTCACCCCCAGACTCAGCACCCCTAGGACCAGCACCCCCAGTCTCAGTACCCCAAGTCTCACCACCCCCAAGACCAGTACCTCCTGCGTCCTCACCTCCAGTGTCACCACCCCCAGCAGCACCAGTGTCCACAGCTACAGGCTGCAGGGGCGGCGTAGACGGTCGAGGGGAAATACCAGGAGGGGTCTCCAAGCGTGGAGAGCGACGAGTGGTCGCCGTGTCGTCAGCAGCTGGGTCACCCCCCTCAGCTGGGCCGGAGGTGTCAGAGGAGATCACCAAAGGCTCAACCAAGGGGGGTGGGTCTACCTGAGACACACCTGAGGGAGCAGGACCCTGTGGGGGGAGAGGGTCTACCGGGGGGAGAACTGGTACCAGGAAGAGAGGCTCCAGGGGGACCGGGTGGGACGCGTGCGGGTGGAGCCTATAGAAACAGACAGACTCGTCAAAGGTGACGTCCTGGGAGGACTGGACTCAACGCGAGCGAGGGTGGTAAAACTAACACGGCGGAGCGTCGGTGGGGAAGCCCAGAAGGCGCAGCGGAGAGTGCGAGGAGAGAGCTTGCTCGCGGTGGTATCGCGAACAAGGGAGAGCGCGCCCCAGACCCAAAACGCTGACGCATCGCCAACCTCTCTCGTCCAACGGAGTGTGGGCGAGGTCTCTGGCAAAGAGACACGGGGCCAGAGGTTGAGCTGATGCGCAGCGTACCGGACCGCAAACGGCCACAGAAAATGGGGAGCAGCCGCATGGATCATGGAGGTACGAGCAACCTCCATGATCAAGCCAATGCGACGCTCTGCAATCCCATTTTGCTGCGGAGAGGCCGGAAGCGTGAAAGACTGGACGATGCCCTCGTCTCGACAGAACTCCACAAGGAGGCCGGAAGAGAACTCACCGCCTTTGTCAGAGTGCAGACGCAGGACTGGAAGGTCCCGCTGGAACCGCTCGCGCAGCTGGTGACGAGTAGCGCGGATCCAGAGGATCAAAACACCGCGGACGTCTGCCTTGCTATGCAAGGGAAAGACCGTGGTGTAGCGCGTGTAGTTGTCAACGACCAGCAGGAAGTAGCGCTCCTGGTCCGTTCCAGGGACGGGGGCCGGGCCCCACACGTCCATGTGGAGAGTCTGCAGAGGAGCAGTGGTCGGAGGAAACGAGGAGGAGTGAGGAGCGGCGCGCTGCCGCCCCTCGACGCAGGGAAGGCACGGTGGGGCAAGCGAGCGCGGGAGGGGGGGCAGGGACCTAGGAAGGCCAGAGACATAGAGACGAGAGTGCATGCTGCGTAGACGCGGCAGAGAGGGGTGACCGATGCGGTGGTGCCGGAGGAGAGTCTGGTGGGAGAGTACTCGACACGAGCACGACGCATCGAGCTGACCAGATGCAGACACCTGACCTAACGCAGCGACCTGACCTGACGCAGCCACCTGTGCAGACGCAGTGGTCAAGGTGTACAGACTGGACCCAGGCTGCCGAGTAAACGTAGCAAGGTGACGGCAAGTCCGGGAGCACGTACAGATCGACGCACGCCGCCCTCCAGGAATAAAGGTATCAACCCATACATCCTGAAGTACTGCGTTGCTCACCAAGTTCGTCAAGAACGAGGGGAGGTGGAGACCTGAAAGAGAGCCGGAGGGGACTGCCGGACACGGGAGGACAGTGGAGGCCCGTGCGACGACGGGGGCCCGAGAGGGGTCAGCCAGTGAGACTGGGACAGGTGCAGCGAGCGGTGTGACAGTGGTGCAATCACGAAAGAAGCAACGAGACGCATCAGAGTCAAGTGTGAAACAGTGCAGGGCCTCAGCTGAGGCAGCAGACTCACTAGTAGCAGAGTCACTAGCACCTGTGGCAGCAGACGCACTAGCACCTAGAGCAGCTGCAGACTGCAGCATTGCAGAGGAAATGTGATGGTGAAATGACAGGATATCTACACACTTGATGCAAGATTTTTGTGGCACAACAATGCATACCGTATGTCTGTCCATCTCCCTGCTAAGCTATGTACAGATGATTCATTCATTTTCCATCCACCTGCACTATTGGTTGCTCCCTTTTCTTCCATGCGTATCGTAACACAGTGCATACCAGTTCATGCTATGTGTAAGGAGTGCAATGAATCGTGCTAATGAGTTCGAGCTGCTGACGAAAAACCCGCAAATTTTGATATACCGTAATGCCCCAGGTAAAAGACCCGGGGGGGGGGGGGGTGGTGGGGGGGGGGGTGGGTGTTCTTAACAGCTGGCTATATTTATAAGACCTGGGTCTTATCATAGGGTCATGTATATTACTTGTGTTTTGGAAGCCAGACACACATGTCAACAGCATGTGCTCCGTTTTTAGCATACACGAGAAATACGCGGAATGAACTCCATGTTTAGCATTCAAAAGAAATACGCGGAATGGACAGGATGATGAGTAGATGTGCTTTTGAGCCTGGCTGTTACCCTGCTCTGAATACCATGTTAGAGATAGAACGTAGGAATGATGGACTAGTAGGCAAGCATGAGTACAAGTACTAGGAATGACCTAATGTGTTGTACTCCTTAGAGTATGCCCCACTACAGCCTAGAGATAACAAATGCAATTTGACCAAACCTGATGTTTCTGGCGCTGGTGGTGGTGGTGGTGCTGCTGCCAATCCTCCTCCTGAACCGCTGTCATTGCCGTTGTTGCATAGCCAATCAGACATGACATCATCACTGCTGCTTTCGGCGCCAGAAGCAAGACCTTCAGTACCGAAAGCAAGACCGTCGGCGGCAGAAGCAGGACCTTCGGCACCAGAAGCACGATCCACAGAGGATTTAGACACTCGGGTAGAGCTGGAAGGGGTTTTGGAACCATCAGGGGCAGCTGCAGCACTGGTGAGAGCAGTACTGGGAGAGTGCGTTGCAGCAGGGTGCAGAGCGGTGCAGTGCAGTATCCGGGAGGCGAGCTCTATGGTTGCATGGCTCCACCAGAGGGCTCTTTCCTCTACCTGTTGCACCTGATGGGGGTCAGGTGGGGGAAAGGAGAAGGGAAAAAGGACGGGCAGGAGGGGGGAATGAGGGGAAGCAGGGCGGAAATGAGGGGAAGCAAGCGAGGAAACGAGGGGAAGCAAGAGGGGAAACGAGAGGAAGCAAGAGGGGAAATGAGAAATCAGGAAGGGAAATGAGGGGAAGCAGGGGGGGGGAATGAGAAGAAGCAGGGGGGGAATGAGGGGAAGCAGGGGGGGAAATGAGCGGAAGCAGGGGGGAAACGAGTGGAGGCAGGGGGGGAAATGAGGGAAAGCAGGGGGGGAAATGAGGGAAAGCAGGGAGGGAAATGAGGGGAAGAAGGGAGGGGGGGGGATGAGGGGAAGCCGCCTTTGGAGGGATGGGCAACAAAGGGGGGGAGAGGGGATGTGGGGGAGAGTTTTTTTAGATTTCACTAATAGCATTGGAGGGATGGGAAGGGAAGGTAACAAGAGGGAATGGAAGGGCAGGGAAGGGAGGGCAAGGGATGGGCATGTGAGAGAAGGGAAAGGGGAAGTGGAGGCGCAACGAGGGGTAGCGCAATGAGGGTGCTGGCGCGTTGAGGAGTGGAGACGCGTAGAGAGGAGGTGCGACAAGGGGAGGCGCGACGAAGGGAGCGGAGGCGCGACGAGGGGAGTGGAGGCACGACGAGGGGAGGCGCGACGAGGGGAGGGGAAACGCGACGAGGGGAGGGGAAGCGCGACGAGGGAAGGGGAAGCGCGACGAGGGAAGGAGAAGCGCGACGATGGGACAGGAGGCGCGTCAAGGGCCGGCGCGACGAGGTTGCCAGCACGACGACGGGAGGCGAACATCGCAAGGGGATGTGCGCCGAAAGGAGTGGTGGCGCGACGATGGAAGGAAAGGCGCGACAAGGAGTGGCGCGAACAAGGAAGCGCAACGAGGGGAGGGGAAGCTCGATGAGGGGAGGGGAGGCGCGACGACTTGAGGCACTCAGACGTGCGTGGGCAGGCGTGGTGAGACGTGGTGAGGCGGCTTCACTCACACTCGCGACCACAACGACTAGTTTGTGTATACGCTTGTAGAGTTTCCTAAAGCCATCGTATCTCCTGCTGCGAATGCGCTTTTGGGATGATCGATCAGGGTAGCTGCTTTTCGCGATCTGAACGTAGATCATTGCTCTAACACAACCCCAGTATGAGCAGATCTGCAACTCTTGTTTGAGTTCGCACATGAGATGGTTTTGCACAAACCTCAGAATTCTCAACCGTGTGCAAATGTAGTGTATATCATCCAGTTTGTTCATTGCATTGCATTGCGACAATAGGGCATTAGGGCGGGCCCAACTTTACGGTTCATGATCACGACTCAGAAAGGTTCCATAAAAGGCGTGTAACCATTTTGACGGTTGCGTGTTCGTCAAAACGAGCCGCTGTGCGGAATCATCGTTACAAATGTCGTTAAGTATCGCACGGAACTCGGCTAATTGCGAGGGTAGTGGCGAGCACTTTGCACTGCCGGTTCATTTTGACGAAAACTCACCCGTCAACATGGTTACACACCCTGTGGTACAAGATGATTGAGCCGTAAAGAATTTGCAAGAAAGGAACGTATACGAGCTGGAAACTCCCTTATCTTCGAAGTACCAATCATGGACCACGGTGACGTCAGCAGGCTCGATTATAAGTACAGTACAGTGCTCAGGAGGGTATTCCATGAAGAGCTTTGCCTTGATTGGTTCCAAAGAGTTCGGGATATCGGAGCCCCTCACGTGAAAAAACAAGTGCACCAGTCACACCTAGTTCTTAGTGTCAAATTGCATTTGTTATCTCTAGGCTGTAGTGGGGCATACTCTAAGGAGTACAACACATTAGGTCATTCCTAGTACTTGTACTCATGCTTGCCTACTAGTCCATCATTCCTACGTTCTATTTCTAACATGGTATTCAGACCAGGTCCCTCCGTAGGACCACTCCATTAGGGCCCACCAACCGTACGTACTGCCCCAGGAGCTGCTGCCGTCGCGCGCTGCCCTGCCCCGCGCTGCCCCGCTGCACGCTGCCCTGCTGCCGCGCGTGCTGCGCTGCTGCCCGTACTGCCCTGCTCGCCGTGCGCTGCCCTTTTCGCCGCGCGCTGCCATTCTCGCCGCGCGCTGCCCTGCCTTGCGCTCTGCCCGCTTGCTGCCCTGCCCTGCAGCCCGCGCGCCGCCCTGCCCTGCAGCCCGCGCGTCGCCCTGCCCTGCAGCCCGCGCGTCGCCCTGCCCTGCAGCCCGCGCGTCGCCCTGCCCTGCAGCCCGTGCGTCGCCCTGCCCTGCTGCCCGCGCGTCGCCCTGCCCTGCTGCCCACGCGTCGCTCTGCCCTGCAGCCTGCGCGTCGCCCTGCCCTGCAGCCCGTCGCTTCGCCCTGCCCTGCAGCCCGCGCGTCGCCCTGCCCTACTGCCCGCGCGTCGCCCTGCCCTGCAGCCCGCGCGTCGCCCTGCCCTGCTGCCCTCGCGTCCCCCGGCCCTGCAGCCCGCGCGCCGCCCTGCCCTGCAGCCCGTGCGCCGCCCTGCCCTGCAGCCCGCGCGTCGCCCTGCCCTGCAGCCCGCGCGTCGTCCTGCCCTGCAGCCCGCGCGCCGCCCTGCCCTGTTGCCCGCGCGCCGCCCTGCCCTGCAGCCCGCGCGCCGCCCTGCCCTGCAGCCCGCGCGTCGCCCTGCCCTGCAGCCCGCGTGCCGCCCTGCCCTGCAGCCCGCGCGCCGCCCTGCCCTGCAGCCGGCGCGCTGCCCTGCCCTGCAGCCCGTGCGCTGCCCTGCCACTACAGCGACTAACACTACTGCTACAGCTGCAACCACAGCGGTCGCTTCTGACGCCCTTGTGCCGGTGCTACTGACTGCCACTGCCTCTCATGGCCACTATCACAGTCGTAGCAGCGGCTGGCGGTGGACAGCAGCAGCAGTGTCCGCCGGAGACTCTATCGCCGCAGCAACTTTGCGAATGGGTTATTCAGCGAGGCCGTCCTGGTGGTGGAGGTTATGGTTTCATGCGTGCTGGCGGTACTGGACAGCAGCGGCGGTCTCGTCGCCAGGAGACTCTCTCACCACAGCAGCTTCGTGAGTGGGTTATTCAGCGAGGCCATCCTGGTGGTGGAGGTTATGGTGCTGGAGGTGCTGGACAGCAGCAGCAGCAGCGTCAGTAGGAGACCCTCTCACCGCAGCAGCCTCGCGAGTGGGTTTCTCAGCGATGCGTCCCTGGTAGTGCAGAGGCTACTAGTCTAGGTGCTGCTGCTCTAGGTGCTAGTGAGTCTGCTGCAGCTCTAGGTGCTAGTGCGTCTGCTGCCACTGGTGCTAGTGAGTCTGCTACTAGTGAGTCTGCTGCCTCAGCTGAGGCCCTACACACTTTCACACTTGACTCTGGTGCGTCTCGTTGCTTCTTTCGTGATTGCACCACTGTCACACCACTCGCTGCACCTGACCCAGTCTCACTGGCTGACCCATCTGGGGGCCCCGTCGTCGCACGGGCCTCCACTTGTCAAACTATAATTGTTATGGTTTGTATTTGCTAGTCTATGTGGTGTACACTTATGTTTAGGGTTGGCTAGGGTTGACAAGGGTTTGCTATATCTTCCTTGTCCTTGTCATTTCTAGTCATTCATTATTCCGTTACCTCGTTGACATGGTATCAGAGCAGTTCGATTCCCATGGTGTCGGTTCTGGGGGTGCAGGGGGTGTTGGCGTGGAGGTCACTCCTGTGGAGGACACGGCAGCCTCGCCCCGCATCACCCCCTGGCTTCCCGTCCGTCCCGCAGTTCCCTCCTCGTTCTTCTCTGCGGCCGGTTGCTGCGGAGCCTGGGGGTGTTCCTGCGGGAGGTACTGGAGGCCCCGGGGGTGTCGGTGGTGGAGGTGCTGGTTCTGGGGGTGCTGGAGCTGGAGGCACTGGCACTCTGGCGCCTACACCGCGCACTGTACGTTTCCTGACCCGTGAGCAGCGTCTCCTCCGGTTGGAGAGGGAGGAGCGTGAGCGGTTTGAGAGGGCACAGCAGCAGCAGCAGCAGCAGCAGCAGCAGCAGCAGCAGCAGCAGCAGGAGCAGGAGCAGGAGCAGGAGCAGGAGCAGTCTCAGCTGCAGCGGCAGGAGACAGTAGAGGAGGAGCCACAGCAGCAGCACGAGAGAGCAGAGGAGGGGTCACGACTGCAGCAGCAGGTGCAGTTGCAGCCGCAGCAGGAGAGAGTAGAGGAGGAGTCACGAGTGCAACAGCGGGTGCAGTTGCAGTCACGGCAGGAGAGAGTAGAGGAGGAGTCACGGCCACACCAGGAGAGGGTAGAGCAGGAGTCTCGCTCGCAGTAGCAGGTACAGTTACAGACACAGCAGGAGAGAGTAGAGGAGGAGTCACGGTCGCAGCAGGAGAGGGTAGCGCAGGAGTCCCGGTCGCAGCAGCGGGTGCAGCTGCAGCCGCAGCAGGAGAGGGCAGAGGAGGAGCCACAAGAGCAGCAGCAGGGGCAGGTACCGTCGCAGCAGACGCCAGAGGAGGCGGAGCAGCAGCGACTGCGACTGCGCGACCTGCCCGACCCAGCACATGCACGCTTGGTTCGTGGTCCCCTACCGTCCCCTCCTGTTCCCCCTGTCCAGTCCCTTTCTTCGTCCCAGTGGACTCGTCGTTCTCCCCTTAGTCGTGCTGTGTCTCCAGAGCCCCGTCGGTCTCGTTATCGTGCAGACAGCCCGTTTCACCTTGTCCTCCGCTCTCGTGTTCCACCTTCTTGAGTCCTTCTACAGCCTCCTGAGTCGTCCCTCACTGTGCTTCACGACCCGTTGTCCGACTACCTCCGTGCCTCCCGTCCTGTCGTCTCCCGTGTTTTTTCCGCGTTGGTGACTCACCCGACTGCACCCCTCTCGTCTGTCTCAGCACTTGTTACCACTGTCGCTGGCTTTGCCTCTTCCCACCGCCTTGACTACGCCGCTCATCTGGTGAGTGGCCCTGCTCGTTCTCCGTGCTTTTGGGGTGCTTCTGTCTTTCCCCTGGAGGTCCTCGAGGACAGGCAGTTCGAGCTTGGTTTCCTTGCGGCCGCTATTCCTCATCTCTGCGCCATGTTGCTTGCCCCTGAGGGGGATCCAGACGCTCTTGACATCCCGATCCCTCGCACACACGCTGAGGCGGTGTCGGGACCTTGGGCCTCGTACTGGATAGCAGCTGAGGAGGCAGAGATGCCATCTTATAGGTCCGCAGGCACCTACGTCGACGCCGTTCCACCACCTGGGGCGAACGTTGTTAGTGGCATGTGGCTCTACAAGGTGAAGCGGCCGCCTGGATCACCACTGGTGTTCAAGGCGAGTTACGTGGCGAGAGGCTTCAGTCAGTGAGAGGGGGTAGACTTCTTCCAGACCTTCGCTCCCACCCCGAAGATGACCACTCTTCGGGTGTTGCTGCATATAGCAGCTCAGCGCGACTACGAGTAGCACTCCTTGGACTTCTCCACAGCGTTCCTACAGGGGAGCCTGCACGAGCAGATCTGGCTGCGTCGTCCGCCTGGCTTCACTGGCTCTTTCCCTCCTGGGACCCAGTGGCAGCTGCGTCGACCGGTCTACGGCCTGCGCCAGGCTCCCCGCGAGTGGCACGACACGCTACGTACGACTCTTGCAGCGCTTGACTTCTTTCCGTCGTCTGCCGACCCGTCGATGTTCGTCCGCCATGGCTCGACCCCGTTCTTTGTTCTGGTCTACGTTGACGACCTGGTCTTCGCCACTCCCGACCGACACGCACTGGCCTCCGTGAAGGAGGAACTGCAGAGGAGACACACTTGCACTGACCTTGGTGAGCTGCAGCGCTACCTTGGCCTGCAGATCACCAGGCACATGGCAGCTCGCACCATTACGCCGACTCAATCGCATATGGTCGAGCAGATCTTCACACGGTTTCGCTTCGCGTTCTCCAAGGTACAGCCCACCCCTCTTGCTGTGGATCATGGGCTCACGGCTCCACCTTCGGATGAGCCATTTGAGTCCAGTGGTCCATATCCTAAGCTGGTGGGTTGTCTCATGTACCTGATGACCTGTACTCGCCCAGACCTAGCTTACCCTCTTAGCGTCCTTGCGCGCTTTGTTGCGCCTGGGAGACACCAACCTTCCCACTGGTACGCTGCTAAGAGGGTGGCGAAGTATGTGGCGAGTACATCAGGCATGGGACTTGTCCTTGGAGGGAAGCAGCCAG